AACTTAAATTTAGTCGACGACGTTAAGGGTTGCGGAACGTGGACTTAATCAAATATTAATTAAATCGAATTTTCCCGCATTGCAAACTTTGATAAAGACATAATTTTAAGAAGAGCACGTAGGACAAATATTAACTGCGAACCTTTGAAAATTTTTTTTCTATTATCACGCCGCAAGTAATTACCTTTACGGCCTTAGGGCGAAAGAGACTAAATAATGACCGGTCGATGACGCAATCAATTTAAATCTGAGTCTATGCGTCTACCGTAAATCACGGCGGATGGCTTCCTGAAGTTTCTTACACATACTTGAACTTTTAACTTTGTTGTGCTCGTATTTTGTGTCGAGCCTTTGATGCTTTCAAAGCTGTACATAATTTAGAAGGTGGCAGGTTTTTTGTTTGTAAATTCCTTGATTTATCGAAGTTCGTAAGTTGATGCGAACTACAACTGTCCGAAATTATACATCAATCCACAGGTTGGGGTAGGGCTACGCCGCTTACTATTGGCTAATTAAATCTCGCCTTTTTGTACAAACGAAAGGAAATTGGTTTCGGAATGAATGATAATGAGATTTAATTATTATCCTTTGTACTTCAACTGTACCGTATTATTTGCTTCCATAACATTTCTCTTTATTATTTATTTGTGGACTGTGGGAGCAGCACTTTTAACTGGAACTTATGATTGGGAAAAGATAACCCAATCAATAAAGAATACCACGAAGGAGCATTACTCAGGTTGTATACAAGAGAGAGTGCGACGGAAGTCGGCCATTTGCAAAAGCCACTTATGACTCATTTTTGTTGTCGTTTTTGCAGTGACATAAAATAATGGTTAGTTGTTGTGCTTGTGGTTGCTCCAAAACGGAAAAAAATAAAAGTTTGGGAATTACATTTCATGTGTAACTATTGATACCAATATTATTTTTATATAGTACTTACATGTAAATTTACAAATTTTTTATCGGAATGTAGTTTGAGGTTAGTTAAACAAACGTCATAGGTGGAGTAGACACATGGGGGTTTAGATTGTTTTCGTGTAAAATTCTTTATAATGTATCCTTCTACAACTGTAAGGTAGGTACGCCACTGGAACAGGAAACTACTATCCGCCATTTGCAAAAGCCATCGCGGTCGCACGTATATTGTTGATATTCTCCTTCCTGGTGTTCTTTATTCATTGAGATAACCGTATAACGCCATTTATGTAAAACACAAATAATACTTATAATTCACCCTGGATCACTTGCTCCACTCGCTCGCTAGCTCGCTCGTGTCGCACAAACCGTCTGAATAATAAGCCTCATTACATGTGCGAGAATTTTAGATTTGAATTAACAGAATAATTGCGCACCATTAATAAGCACCGTGTCGACACTATCCGCGACTTTTCCGTAATCTACCGATGGCAGCCGAGTCCAGTACAATCATCACTTGATGCGACACCGCTGTGTTTTGTGCTTGAACGAAACTGGTAACTTCATACTTATATACAAATGCCAATGCTAAAAGTCAATGTAAAATATTTCTGAAAAGGAAGGGCTGCTTTTGCTTCTTCCGTTGCAGATACTTTGTGAGTTTTGAAGTGCCTATAAAATTGTGATGATTGCTTCTTCATATCTTCCCTAGAAAGCTAAGAATCCCTGGTACTTCTTAGATCTTTCTAACGGTTTTCAAGAGCCAAGCAAAGGAAAACACACAAATTTTCAGCAGTGTTTCTCCCCGTTTCTCACAGTGTTGACGTATGCTACTTACGTTTTCCAATAATTATATGTAGACCTTTCAGAGTTTCCCAAGTTTTTAGGCACATTTCAAGGTGGCGTGCGGTGCACCGAAAAAACAGGTGTTCAGCTACCTCAAATCAAATAAAAATGGAAACTTAGAATGTTATAGTCTCTCCTGGTACACATCAGCCGGCATAAATCCTAATACTGAGTGTATACTCAATGTGAGAGATTCGGTGGCATCGATCAACTTCCGAATATTTCAAATAATTTACTTTAAATAAATCTTGGTACCAATTAAAAAAATCTGACATGAAAACTCTATCCGGGTCGCACAAATGATTCGAATAAACACATAACTAATTGATTGGCAATGACAACAATTTATTCCGATACACACGATAAACCAAAATCCCCGAAAGAAAGAAAAGCTCAAAACGCTTGTACGAACATAATACTTCGCCCGCATGCGTTCGATAAATAAAATTTAAAGAATTAGTTATAGTTTTTTATAGGAATCCAAATAATCTAGTCGTGAAAAGTTTGCGATAATCAAACGCACTTATCAAAGATAAGCCACAAAATGGCTCACTCACAGACAGCTTCCGGAAACCACTTTTTTTTTTTATTAAAATTGCTTTATTTCGAAACCGAGTTCGAGATCTTGCGCAAACAACGCTATAAACGTGGCGAGTAGAAAAGGATGTCATCCCCTCCACTTTTTTATGACGTTACACATGCTGTGCTGTGATTGGCTGCGCCATGTTGTGGCGGTAAATTTGAATTTGTGCGGGAGGTTTGAATTTTAGAATTTCCAGATGTCTTCCATTTTGTAGCGGTTTGAATTTGTGCGCGAAATTTAAATTTTTTACTGTCATTTTAAATGTACAGGCTGTAACCCTGGAAGGATAGTTATATTCAGGATATTTACATTGTCGCGGCTGTGACGCATTGTACCGTGGATAATTATCTAGAGCGACGTACGCCTCTTACGATGAGCTGATGATACTCTGTAATTATTAAGACGTTGGAAGCCATACCGTTTTGGTAATTGGTAAAAACCAGATGTTGTTTGTATTAATGTTCACGATAATTAGACTATAATAAATAATAAAAGGACTACAAAAATTTAAATAAATGAAACGCAAAATTGGTACGGCAGACGAACCCGCTTTATTTATATCATTTTAAATTGAACAAAGTGAATTATGAGTCTTGTTTAGTGTAATACACGTAAGAATAATTACAATTTGATGAGAACTTTTACTGCTATCCAATAGATTGTCGATTATCGTCGTTACTTGACTTTGGGGTGTTAGAAGTTTCTCGTTACTTTAAACCGACATTCTGAAAATGATACATTTTAAGCTTTAAATAACCGCGCAGTTGAAAAAGTATATTTAGAGAATCCAAACTTAGACACAATTCAACGCCTGCACGTCTTGAATTTCTCGAATGAAATCCAATCGTGTCGTTTTGAAGTGTCCAAATTATGATTTGATTTATATCGACGACAATGGACTGACTATTAATTATCTCCATTAGTTCCTCTAAGCAATCGATGAATCGTATAAAAAAAATAGATAATTGAAATACACACTTTGACCACTACTGATTTTCAAAATCCTCGCACAACAACACTATTTGCAGAATTGTAATTACTGTATTATTTAACGATATCGTTGTATTGTAAAGCAAACGACACTCTTCCTCTTGCAACCGATCGGCATATTCTTGTGTCTTTATACCATAATAATTAATGTATCGCACAAGTTTGAAAATCTTGATATTCGTCATTATGTCGCCTGATAGCTCATTGACTTCATCGGCATCTGGTCTGCCATCATACAGTATAGTAGGCAGTGAAATGAGACCTTTTGTAACTACCGGTATTTTATGTACGATGGAAAAAAGTAGTCTAACTAAAGAATAACAACTTTCACAATACCTTTAGGGCGAGCCCACTGGGATGTAACGTTACAAATGGAAGCACTCCGAGGAAAATTCACCGTCTACGTCACACAATCACTATGAGAAGTTTTAAATTTTACCGACCTCAAAAAGACCTCAGCAGAACTGAATGCCTTAGAGACTAGTGCCATTATGACAGTCCGGAACAAAAAGACGTCTTACGTATAACTACCATTACACCCTGTATATTTAATTTCAAATATACCGACACACACGTTTCGATTTGGCCTCATCGGGACCAGTTAACGGCCTATTGCCATCGGTACAAAAACATCGATGGCAAATACCCTGTATATAACTACCCTTGCACCATCTACATTTAAAATTACACAGCCAAACACAGTAAACAAATTCAAATTCCCCGCTACAAAATGGCAGACATCGGAAAATTCAAAAACTCAAATCCCTTTCACTATTAGATATTTGATATACCGTTGTGCCTTATCTTTCATTTTTGTGTTGTTACTTTTGTATATAATATATGAATAAACGTCATTATTATTATTATCTTCCGCAACAAAATGAGTGTTCTGAAAATTAAAAAATTTAAATCTTCCGCAAAAATTGCCACAAAATGGCCAACACCAGCAAATACAAAAATTCAAATCTCCCGCATAAATTTAAATTCCCTGCTACATAATGCCGCAGCAAATCACAGCGCAGCGCAGTGGAGGGGATGGCGGTCTCCTTTCTACTGTCGTGTAACTGGCTGATTCCAGTGTTAAAAGAACACCATTTCTTCTATAAGATATATATCTTAACATGTGCGGTAATTAATTTTCAACTGATACGACTCCTGACCATGGAAAAACAATCAGATAATAGTTATTTACTATACAAGACGCTAAAGGGATGTTTTAAACATTGAGTGAATTAACTCTCACGAGATGGTTAGTTTCCCTTTTTCTTAGTGTATAATACAAAATTTTATTTTATAGCAAAAGCCATATAAATAGTTGTAAAGCTTCTGACAATTCTGAATTTATCTTAGAGACGTTCTGTTCTGCCGTCGCGATCGTTTCCATAGAAACAGAATTGCCATCTGTTGTGAATTTAAACAAAAAATATTACGCAATTATAACAATTCTAAAAAGAAAAATATACTCTGAGATAACAAATTCAAGGACAATGCACCAACTCTGTGCTTATTCGTAGGTAATCCCCCAGATTTCAATTAACGTCTTCCTCTCCTATTTACAACAATTTCCCTTTCTCACTTCCGATTCTTCTTCCTTCTTTCAAAGTGTTTCAGTTTTCGATAAATAACTACGGGCGATAAATAGGTGTAACTTTACACAAAAAAAGGTAATAACGAAGCTTTTATTACTATTATAAAAAAGAACACAAAACAACGTGTAAATACTGTAAAAAGTGCAACAATGAAACAGCAGTTAATTTCGTGCTTGAACGTCTGAAAAAATGTTTCCTAGAGGGAGAGATTCGGAGACGATGACATATCTCTACAGTAGCGATTTTCAAATTGGTTAGTATTAACAAATTAACAAAAGGTAGCCATGTCAGTGGTTTCCATTCAAAATTAAAGAAAGAAGTGTGAGTTAGGGGGTTGGGTACACTACGGTTAATCTCTGGATTTCAAACCCACCCAATATCCCTGTTCGCTGCTGAGAATATTGTGCTTTTTTCCTTCCGGAAACGGAATGATGGTCTTCTCCGTAGGCACGAGCCTAAACCGTAACAGCAAGTGAAACATAATGAATTTGGTCTGTAGTGCCACCAAACGATAAGCTGAAAGCAAATTCGGTTACCCAACGAAGCTCAAGAGCACTAACCCTCTTACCTACGCACATTCTTGGTCCACACCCGAAAGGTATGAACGTGTGCGGATCAATCGAGCTTTTATGTTCGGCGCTAAACCGTTCCGGATCGAACTTGTTTGGATTCTCGTAGAACTTCTCATCGCGCGAGAAGCAGTAGATTGGAATCGTAATGTCTTGGCCGGGCTTCAAATGTAGCGGTTTTTCGTGGGGCAGCACGGGAGGGATCGTGTATGGTTTTGTTACGCAACGATCTAAGGCCATTAGCGGACTACGGAAACGGAGACACTCTGGAAGTCAATTAAATTAACCACTGAAAACCCCTTGCGAAGCGTTACCATTGTAAACCATATCCAAGTATTTCATCTTCTTGAAATCTTCGTAAGTCAAGTTTCCATCACAGCTCTGCCACATTTCGTCGATTTCCCTGAACAGTTTCTCCTGAACGTCCTGGTGGAGGGCAATCTCGTAGAGCGAGTTGCAGACGAGAAGTCCGTACATGTCGAAGTTGGCGAGGAACAATCCCATTAACTCCATCGCGACGTCGTCATCTGAAATTTCGCCGTAACCTTGTCCGGTTACCAGCTCCCCTACGTCTTGTTTGTCCTCCTGATCGTCCTTGTCGTACTGAAGTCGTCCCTTTTGGGCTTCGTTTAGTAGGTGCAGCATATCGATGCGGGTGATGTTGTTCGCCCTTCGATAGGTGAGCGTTTCGTTGACAATCTTTCGGTAAAACGCCTCACCTTCTTCGTTAAACAGTTTGATTTTGATGACCTTAAACCGCGATTATAGGTTTCTAAAAAAGCGCGACGGTTACCTGTGCAATTTTGGAGCTGAGAGCGGCCAAGCGAAACCCGAACACCTTCAACTTTGACTGAACAAAAGTTTTTTGGGCAATTCTGAGATACTCATTTTCTGAGTCGTTGAATGAGTCGCACTCAATTCCGAATGAACTGTTGAGCGCAAGATCGTTGGTGAATTTCATGATCAAAGTGTGCAAATTGACCGAGATCGTTTCCTTGGTTCTGGGAAGATTGTGAATGAGTCGCCTGATGCACTCGTTCAGCATGGGAAACATCTGCTTCATTTTACTTTGCGTGTAAGCAGAGCCTAGCGTTCTTCGGTGATCGTGCCAGTCGCGACCTACAAGGAGACGTTAGAGTGGAACGTACAACTTTCACTTACCGTTTCTCGCGAAAAGCAGTTTGCTGACGGTAGGATCCGAGCTCTTTTGCAAAAATGGCCTGTGGTCACTGAAGTAACTGAAGTCCTTGATGCAGATTTGTTTCACTAGGTCTGGGTCACATATTACCAAACTCGGACAGCTGAACATGTAAAATCCGAAGTATCTGCAAAGAGATTGAGCACATAATTGACTGGTGAGGTCCACGCGTACCTGTTATGGGAATATTTCCTGTACAACTCTTTAAGGATGTCATTGAAGGATTTCACTCGTAGCACCGTCCGGAGAATATTGCCTACCACTGGTAAGGGTGAGTCATGTGGAACTTCTGGATTCGTCCAGTGCTTGAGCGGCTTACAGAATTGTTTATAGAAAAAGAAAGCGAACAACGCTAAAAGGATTACAATAAGCGGTACCATTTTGACTTAAATGGAGTTTAGCCTCAGCAACAGGTTTAAAACTATTGACCTCTATCTCCAACCGACTCTTTCTTCTCGTGTCCAAACGTTCACGAAAAAGTATACTACGAAAATAAAGAAATAATCTCTCCTTATCGCTAACCTTTCGTTTTGATAACTTCACCAAGCTGTTGCTTTGTGGAGGCATAAGGTCATCATACTTGAGAGAAAGATAAAGCCTCGGATAAAGCCGTTTGTCGATTGATGAAGACCATTTCAAACTGTTTACGAAACGGTACACGATACGTAAGTCTAAGCTTGATCTGTTTTTTAAGTTGCGATTTCTATGGGATCAACAACATAAGGATACATATGCAAAAATCTTGAGGATAGTGCCGAGTGCGGATCTTCCAGAAATTCTGCTGTCTCAACCTCAAAAGTAGTTATGTGGGCACACGAAGAACCCAATGAGAATAATTCAAACGACACTATGAAATGAAGGATTTCAAAAAATGGAAAACTTAAAATTGAAACAGTGCGCAGAATCTGGAAAATCAAACGAATCGGAATGAACGTGAGAGTCCCAAAAATTGCAAGGCGTCCATAGAATTATAATAATTTGAAGTCTTTAAAAACTTAAATTAGGGACCAGAAGTGACGAATGGATTTGTAGGATTTGAAAAATGTTAAGTCGTTAACAGAACTTGATTACGAATCTAAAAAAAAGGTCCGGAAAACCTTAATTAATCTGAAGGTTTTGATGGAACCGAATGAACTCAAAAATGCAAAAACGATTGAAGAATCGGAAGAACCTATAACATTATAAATAAACGAAAAAATCTAACGAATACAAAATCACAAACATTATCCCATAAATCCTAATCGTCCGAGGAAACGTTCTAGGAATCTCATACGTATCTGAAGTAACAGAAGAATCGGACGAATCTGAAGGATATCAAGAAATTGAAAAAACTGAAATGTCTGAAACATCCAAAAGAAACGAAGAATCTTCTGAATCTCGAATCTATAGATTTGGGAGAAACACAAATTTAGGAAGTCTCGGTACAATTTGAAACAATCAAAGGAATGTAAGCGCTGCGCGATTTAGGGAGAACGGGGAATCCCGACGGGCAGTATCCGACTTGTGGTGGCACTCCTCGCATCTCCGTTGTGTTAATTATTACTTTCAGAGTATTATACGTATTAATTATTGTAAATAACAAATGGTTATTGGGAACTCGTGTGTTTTACAATAGAAGAGTCACTGTGGATTTGAATAAAAATAAAAGACAAAAATTATCCCGAAACACAATCAAAACAAAATCCCAGAAGGAAAGCAACGCCCCCAAAGCTTATTTGGACATATTACTCCGCATACAGGCGGTCAACTATCAAAATAAAAAACCTAAAAATCTAACTCAAAAAAACACTTGCTGGCAGATTCAGAAAACTTCACTTTGTGCTTGATAACAAAGAAGTAGATGACAAACAAAACTGGCTCGATGAATAAGATGAACAAATTTTTGGTGGCTGTTCGGACGGTAAAAATTTTTAACTTGTAATAAGAGGAGAACCTTAACAAAGTTCTCGCTGTACTACACTGCTTGCGTCTTCAATTTGACAAAACTTTTTCCATAATCGGACAACAAGCGTTAAACTTCTCACACAACTTTGCTGATCTTACTTTTGCGTTTTCAACAAAACAAATAGGGTTCACTGCCCATAATTTAGTGTAAACAGATGTACACGCTTTTTAACCGTCGCGAAAGCACCATTTCTCGTTGTCTCGAATACTTAACACCACTTCTTTAAAAATTCTCAAACAAATCGCCAATCAATTACAGGGCACGCCAAACGCCCACACTTCTTCAACATGAAACGCGCAATTCATTGGAACACCTTACCTCTTCACAGTAATAGAACACGTGCGTTAATTAATTTTCATCTGCAACCAGATGTGTCTTAATTCTAACACCTAATCCAAATTGAATAAATTACAAAAGCGATAAAATTTAAACAAAAATTACGCATTTACAAAATTTCTAAAAGGAAAACCAAGGTAGCCTTCCAAAGAATCCATTAGCAATGCTAAATACATTGCTAGTCTGTAACGTCACCTGGAATTTTTGAGTGGAGTTTGCCGTTTATGAGGACCACCCTGTATAGTAACGATTGGTTTGGGCTTCGTTACATAGAAAACCGTAATTTCGAGAACTTTCCGCGATGCCATGGAGACAAGGAGATACCGTAATTAATTAGTCCCCGTACGACGGTTCATGTTGGAATTTTGGAATTATTTTTGTAACCACCGAAGGGTCTTGTCCTGGGGAAGATGATGGACAATTAATATTTTTTGGTTACAAAGCGCCGTTAATTGTTTATAGACCGTTTTAGTTCCCCCTAATAAGTAATAGCAAAGATAGAACAAGTTCCGAAGCGAGTTGTTTTGCAGTTGGCGGCGTGCCTGCAAAAATTAGATAACCGCCAGCCGGCTTTCTGGCCGAAAACGTGTAATTAAAATAAAGTTAATTAATGTAAAGGGTTCATGATCTTCCATTTGGCTTTTCGAGTATCGATAATTACATGAGTTATAGTAAAGGAGCGCCGATTGAGAAGATTTTGGTGTCAAATTTTGCGCGCTTAATAAACGAATCGATTGCCAGACGTTCAGAAATTTTAGCACGAACAGGAGCCGAGTAATTAATTAAAAATCGAATTGAGTGGTTTCGATTCCGTATTGAATGCGCGACGAGTTGGATTTTCCCTGTTCCACTTCTACTAAATTGGGTTTTCTTTATAAGGAAAACGCTCAATTTTGCAAGGATCTTTTGCGTTCTACTTGCAGTAAGTAAGTCCGTAAATATGATTTTGCCATTTTCCGTACCGTAACTTAGATCTTTTTGCGTCCTACCGACCGTAAGTACGTAGTATCGTTTGCAATTTTTGCATGCCTTTGTTTTGCCTTTTCTTACCGCGGTCTAATTTCCTAAGGTAAGCCGTTTTTTAATTACATAAGGAGGACTTGTTTCTAAGTAGTTATGACATGAAAATAAATGCATTATTATTATTATGGTCGGTGTTTCTTGTGAGAACTCAGGTCTAGCCTGGTTAACTAATCGCACGGACGTGACTTTCAAGGCTTTAAAGGGTTTTTAAACACATTTAAGAATATTATAGGGTCGATTTTTTGCCGGAAATTGTTAATATTGGAGAGGCAAAATCCCCAGGTCCTTTAAAAAGATTGCCAGTCGGTAAGAGTGTCTGAAAGTCGAAACCTTATGAGACTTTAAGATTCTTAAGTACCCTTTAAACGTAATCATAAATTTCGAAGGTTTCCATGAGCGATCGGTTTCACTCACTCGTCAATTCATGTTAGGGAAAAACTACCACATCTTTCTTTATAAGGATGTGGCAACCCAACCAGATATATTCATTTTCACGGATGGATCTAATACAATGGAAGGAACAGGCGCTTTACTCCGCTAGAATCGCCTGCTTCTGTGCGCGAAAATCCTACAGCGCGTTCGGATTATCGAGGTCTGGATGTCCGGATTAGCATGTGTCCGGAGTAAAGAGGTTGCACAAGGTTTACTACAACAGTCAGGGGAGACTCAAATATGATATGACACGGTAAATGAGAAAGTTAGCAGGAAGATTTTTAGGAAGAAACATTAGGAACAGTGGGAATAGAATAAGAATGTTATTAAAGAAGACTGAAAGGATATTAGTGAGGGACGCGAATTATGATTCTACAAAGTTAGGAAGCATATAATTATGCAAGGACTGACAAGGCGAATTGACACAAAGAGATTTGGTGAACACGCTCATAGGAAAAGTTTTAACGGTAGAGAGTAAGGGAATGTCATTATAGTGCGACAAATGAAGATTAGTCCCGGGTGATAATAAATGTGCTCCGGCTTGTTGCCAATCAGTAAACTTCTTCTGGTCTCTTAAGGAAAGGGGTAAAGGGGTAAATTAATAATAACCCAATAAACTTTATTAAATTATGAATCGATTCTCATTTTCTTTAAGCTCCTCTTCGCTGCAATAAAACAACATTTGAATAAATGGGGTTGAAGCGCAACAGTCCTGTAAAGTAAATGGTTAAAAGCCATTCATTCACAAAAACACACTTTGCATTGATAGAAATATTCACTTTATTATGAGGTACTAAAAAGAAATTAATTGTATTTTCATTATCATGTGTAAAAACAAAAAAAACTTTAAGAATTGTCAGGCGCATAACTTCACTCACTTGGTGCAAAATTGAAAGTAGGTGGTAGAAACGCCTTTACATAAGTATACAATATTAAGTAGCGCTTGAGCATAAAGTTTCCTATAATGGTTTGTAATTAAATCAATATACTACGACGCTAGTTCAAATACATATCCACGCTATCAGCAACAAATTGTAACAAGACAGGAAGCGACAAAACTACAACGCCCTAGAGCAACTGTATTGTTTGCGTCATCAATTACAATAACATCGTTCTTGCCTCCAGCTATGCTCTGCACGGACCGACTATAGAATCCTCTCAGACCGTTTTTTCTTTCTCTTGGAATTGAAATTCGCCCTCCATCTGCACTCTGTACGGACCGTTGGCTCGACATCGCCGAGGATAACTTAACATTGATAGTTATGAATAAATGAAATTGATTTCCTTACAACGATTAAACAAACATTCACGCAAACAAGATTATAGTTGGGTAGCTATATTTAGATTACACATTTTTAATACGTTATAAAATTTTCTGTACATACGGAGGCTCGATTTAAAGCTTTTCAAAACGAGTGATTCAATTAAAGGAACTGCCGAACGATCTCGTTCGTTTCGTTACTTATTAATAAAGTAGTTAGTGTCGACGAGTTTAGACTCTAATTGAATACGTGGAAGGTTAGCTGTAGTTTTGAGTGGGGCAGCAGAACTTTATAAAAGTAGGAAGAAAGACATTTATTTAATATCTAACAAGGGCAAACGTCCGAATATTCGAGGTAGACATTCCTAAGGTAAACTACGAGTAAATATTTAAACGTCGCCTGTCTATTCTGATCTCAAGCAGGTGCATCTGGGGATTACGGGCACCAAAGAAAGCAATAAATGTTTCAGGTCGCCCAAATGAAAATTT